ATCTGTTCTGATAGCAATCTATCCATTTCACCTCTTTAATGTTTGGTTACTGATCGCATGATACAATTTCTTCCATCCTTTTACTTTTAATCTACCTATCTTTATGAAGCTATAGTCTTATAGACAGGCTATATAGTTGGATATTGTTCTTTAATCCAATCTAACAATATGTTTGGACTAGCATTTTAATCTATCCATCTTTAGTGTTATTGCTGATTGGATTAGCATTTGTCATTTTGCTATAGTATTTTTAATGTGTAAAATCTTTTTTCTTCCCCTCTATTTTTTCCTTTCTACTGTTTTCGTGATTATTAAAATTTTTTATTGTATAATTTTCTCTGTTTTTCTTAGCACTTTTTAAAAGTTATTTTCTTAAAGGTTGCTATAGAGATTAGAATACAAATTTTAATTTATCATAGTCAACTCCAGGTTAATACTTTTTTATTTCTGGATATAGATAGCAACACTTCTTGAGTATGGCTTTACTCTTTTCCTTCTTTTATACTAATATTTTCACATATATTTCATTTATGTGTGTAATAAATCCAGTGATATAGTGTTATAGTCATTGGCCTTTGCAACAATATTTTATTTAGCTATTTAAGAAGAAATGGAAAAATACATTTGCAGCTTATATTTATCCATGTTTTTGCCATCTACAATGCTCTTTATTTTTTCTTGTAGATCTGAGCTATCATCTGATGTCACATATTTTAAGACTGAAAGACTTTCTTTAATATATTTTAAGGCATTGCTGGGAGGAATGAATTCACTTAATCTTTGTTTATCTCTGAATGTCTTTATTTTCCTTTATTTTTGATGGTAGTTTTATTACATATACATTCTTGGTTGACAGGTCTTCATTTTTTCTCTCAGCACTTTGGAAAACACATCTTGTTGCCTTCTGAATTCCATTGTTTCTGATGAGAAGCAAGCCATTAATCATATTGTTGTTTCCTTGTATATAATTAGTCATTTTTCTCTCGCTGCTTTAAATATTTTTTTTATATTTGTCTTTTAGCAGTCTGAGTATTATGTGCTCTGATGTAAATCTCTCTTTGTCTCATGTGAAGTATTTTCAGCTTCTTGGCTCTGTATAGTTTTCTCTCCTTTACTTCTGGGACTCCTGTTACTTATGTGTTGATATGTTTCATGTCATTCCATAGGTTTTTAAAACTCTATTCTCCTTTCTGTCTTTAGACTGGATAAATTAAATAGATTCATCTACAAGTTTGATGATTCTCTCTTCTGCTATTTAAAATATGATGTTGGGCTAATCTATTTGCATATTGGTTATAGTACTTTTTGATTTTAGATTATCCATTTGGTTCCTTTTAAACAGTTTCTATTTCCTTATGAGATTCCTTTAAGTGTTGATTCATCGAACATATAAAACCTTTAAGTATGCCTTCTGTTAATTATTGAACATATAATGTGTTCTTTGAAGTCGGTTAGATCAATATCTGCACCCATTCAGAAACAGTTTCTATTGACTGCTTTATTTCTTGAATAGGTCACATATTCTGTTTCTTTGCATGCTTCATGGTCTTTTGTTGAAAACTGGACATGTTAGGTCTTGTACCTACCGTATATTCTGCAGTAGTTGATATCTTTGCTCAGTTATTTTATTTTCTTATTTTTTTCAACCCGCTTGACTTCCTGGGGTTGCTCCTTTGTCCACATACCCCATTGGTCAGCCAATGATTGATTAGTGTTTGTGCTTGAATACTGTGACCCCATATGATTTCTACCATCTGCAGATTGATGTGTTCAGTTAGGGAGCATATGTAAAGTTCAGATAGCTTTCAAGTCTTTTGGCATCTGCTTTTAACCATGACCCCTTGGGGCTCCCCTGTCTGTGCACGTAGTGTGCTAGTAAGCCAGGTATGAATGAGTTTAAATTTTTTTAAACTCTTAATATTTAATTTAATAATTAAGAGTTTATAAAAGTTTCACTCTTATAATGCTCTTTCATTCCTATGTTTTCCCTGTAAATTAAGTGGCAGGTCCATTGATAACCTCAATTAGGACTAAATTCAAGGACAGCCGAGCTGAAGGCTTTTTCTGTGTATTTCTCATTGAATGTTCTACTTCACTGACATCGCCCTTCACCTCATGCCTTGCACCTCTGCCACAGGTCATGGCAGCACTTCCCATGCGGAGATGTTCCTACTCTACATGGTCAGCACCAACCTGGGAGTGGCTATGAGACCAGGTTCTTGGAAAAAAATGGATTTTGTTCAGTTTTTTGGAAGCTTTTCATAAATAGTCTTTTCCATTTATTGCTAGTAGTTTTCAGAGTGATTTTTGACCAGTTTTAATTTTTCTAGGGGGTGAAAATAATTTACCAATTTTGTATTCTTTCATACTCATATTTTTAATGAATATTGAGTGGGTATTACTATGCCAGTGTATTTATAACTTACTATAAGTAAACTATAATTAAAACAGTATGAACCTGGAGTAGAAATAATTTACAGTTCTATAAATAAAAGTTCATAAAAGAATCTAAATGAAACATGAAAAAGCTATGTGACAGTGTGCTGCTTTAAATGAACGGGAAAAGGGTAGTTTATTTAATAACTCATGGTGGTATAGTTGGCTATCTATCTAGAAGAAACAAAATATTGTCTTGTCTACCAAGTATGAGTTACACCATAAAATACTAAATTTCAATGAATCAGAGTTAAAAGCCAGTAATTTGAAAATAATAATAATAGCAGAAAACTATCAAAGAAAGGGGTGAGTGAGATTTTTCTTAAGCAAGACTAGAAACACAAAAGCTTCAAATGAAAACAAAATACCTGGGTGGTGGGGATTCAGGGGATAAGGGGAGAAGCCAAATGACACTCTCAGGAAAAAAAAAGTTGGTAATAAATAGAAAGACCCAATTTGTCACTATTCAAAATGTATCTTTTTTCTCTAAACAAGTATGCAGGTGATTTACCTCTCAGACACAGATCCTTAGTGTATTAGTCAAGACAATTTTTTTAAATGACAAAATTCCATGACCATAGAAAAATATTAGTGACTTCTATAATTAAAAATTATAAGATAAGAGGTGGTTTTAAGCAAGACAGGTACCTGGTATGGATACAATTCCCTCAGAAGTATGTCTCTCTTTTTCCATTTTTGTCTGTACCTTTTGCCTTTTCATTTTTTTCTCAGGCAGGTTCTCCTATGTGGGCAGGAATTGACCAGCATGTTTTTTCAGTATCCAGGAGCATCAGGAGGAGAGAAATTCTCTCCAAGCATCCATAGCAGTTCCAAAATTGATGTTAACTCCCCTATTGAGTTATATGCCCACTCCTGGACCAAGTGCTGAATCTAAGGATGCAGCTTATCGCTGCTGGCCCTCCCAACTAGGTGAGTTGGAAACCTTTTAATTGACAACTCCTGCATATGGGGCCAGTATAGGTATAACAGCAAACTAGTGGTCTATTCAAAGAAAGGAGTAAGAATAACTAACTCATTCTGCTGGACACTTGAAACTAACACAACATTGTAAATCAACCATATTCCAGTGAAAATTTGAAAGAATGGAGAGAAGAGGACAGACAAGCAAGGATAACACGTCCATAGGGGACATGTTTGCATAAGTTTTATGGTATCCCCATTTTTTTTTGTTTGGTATGATAAGGGGAGCAAAATCCTAATTCACCTTGAAATAGCAGTGTCTGTAAATAAACACGCACACTATATTTTTTTCTTGAAAAGCAAAATGTGCTTTATAAGCAGTGTTTGGCACCAAAATTTCAAAGAATTAGTTCTGGAGAAATTCAGGTTCTATTCAGCAGAAAATTTTGTTCTCAGTTGAAATTCATTTTGTGTTTTTCCGTATTGAAAGCAATGGCAGAAAACCAATGAAACAACAAAGTAATCTTACACCCTAATAATATCAAAACCTTACACCGTACCTGAATGTCCTCCTTTATCCTTCTCAACAAGAAGTTGTTAAGTGGCACTTTGCTGAATCTGAAGTCATCACATGACAGTATAATCAACTCTTCCCTTTCCTTTGCCAAGAAGCCATCTGGCAGTGTGTCTTTTTCATTGAAAATGTGTCCCTGATCCAATTTTCATTTGTTACTCTGTCGAGAAAGCATTCATTCCAATGAAGGACCAAATTTGTGCACTGTTCTTTCCTGCCAGGACTAAGGGTGAATTTTACTTTTATTTCCAATGAGTAAATTTTCTTAAGGTTATGGAATGATTGGCAATTATTTTCTTGCTACTTTTGTATGTTCTGCTGATGTTGCTTTCTTGTGGCTTTTGTTTTGTCATGAAAATTCAAAGGCAAGCTTTTTAGTTCTAATATACTGGCATCCTTTGCTTGCATTGTGGTATGTGAACAAGTCAGTTAAGTAGACTCAGCTTCACAGACATGGTACATCCATAAAGAAATGACTGTATTGAAAATAAAAGAAATATGTACCTCCACAAAAACTTTCAAGAGGAGAATAAGTCCTTTGGAAATATTTGTTTTAAAAAAGATAGGTAACACATTTTTTGAAATGTCTTTCCCTTCTTCCTTGTCCCCTCCAGCTTTACTGATGTATAATTTACAATTAAAGTGTATACTTTTAAGACATACAACATGATATTTTGATAATGTATACACTGTGAAATGATTGTAACAATCAAGCTAATTAACATATCAGTCACTTCATATAGTTACCCTTTTGTGCATGAGGGGAAGAACACTAAAGTCTTACTCTCTTTGCAAATTCAAGTATGCTAACTATTATTAAGTCTTGCTGCCATGCTGAACATTAGATCTCTATAACTTATTTACTTGTTATAGCTGAAACTCTGTACCTTCTAATTAACATCTTCCCATATTCCCAACCCTTCAGTCGCTGGCAACTACCAATTCTATGCTCTCTTCACACTGAACTGTGCCCCCTAATAGAGAAGGAATAATTTGAGTAAAGTGAAATTGTTCTTTTTACCTTACTCGATACATCTATCATCAGGTACTTTTTGCTAAACAGAGTCCTATGGCCTCTCTGCTGGAGTCCCTGGTTCCCAAAATGGTATTGTCATCCATGGGTGGTTGTCAAAATCAATGTATCTGCAAGGCATGAACACTGAAAATTCCTATCCCACCATCTTGTTGATGTCACTCACCTAATTTCTTTCCTTCTTTCCATTATGCCATCCAAAAATATGAACTAACTAAAGTTGATTCCTTTCTTCAAAACGAGCTGAGCATCTTTCATGAGTATCTTCATTATGATAGTGTCTACCACAAATTGGCAGTTGCCAAGAGCATTGCTAATGACTGGGCAACAAGGGTATTTGCCATCTGCCTCCATGGAGATTGAACCTTGTGCTGCTGCAGCTGCTGACCTTTAACACCCGCTAAGGGAGTTCAGGGTGGAGTGAGGCACTCTGTGCTCCAGGGAATCTGGTGGGACAGGTCTTTGACAGGTCTTTAGATAGTTGGATATTTTCAGGAATAGATTTTATGATCCCAATCCTTGCCTCTCATATCTAGAACAGCACTAAATTCCTTCATGATGACATCAGATCCTCAGGACTAGCAGAAAACCTCTTGTAAAGTAAGGACTTGATTGCACTGAACTCCCCCTTCACCGAAATCCTAAGTATTGACCTTCCCTGACTGCTCTTTGGAACAGTCCCTCAGAGCTATCTGAGGGGCTGCCTCCTGGGCTGCAGTCCTCATTTTGCCCCAAATAAAACTTAATTCACAACTCTCAAGTTGTGCATCTTTTTTAGTTGACAATAGGCATTTTTTATGATATTTGGAATTAGGTGATATAAAATAAAGTGAATAAATTCAGCAAAATATATAAAATTCCTGATTTATTGTTTAACTGTCAGAAATAGACAACCAGGGAAATGGGCTAGAGACATTATGACAAAATGAAAACAAGCAGTTTGAATATTGTTTTAGAAGTTTGTAGATTGCTGCAAAGGTAACACTTAGGCAGATTAGCTTGTCTGAAAAGTTCTGTCTTCCAGTGACTGCCAGACTCCTTGTTTTTCACAAGCAAGGGCCTCCTCTGCTGAGTTTTTGTTGACCCCTTTGTTCTCTGCCTGTGTGTCTCTTTGTAACATTTACCACATGACCTTGCTATTATATGTTTAACTTCTTGTATCTTGTTAAGATATGAACTCCTATAAAGTCTGTTCCTCTCTATCTTTTTTGCCAGTGTCTAGCATTTTGTGCTAAGTACATAATTTGCATGTATGAATGACAAGGTGTTTACATTAGCAAAAGACAGCTCTCTCAGAAACTTCCACAGGACAAAAAACTCTATAGTCATTTCGAGGAGGAAGAGGAAAAAATACATTTATCTAAAATCGCAGAAAATGTACTCATATGGACAGCCTGTGGGATCTGTGTTTGTTAATAAATAAGCACAGTGTTATAAATCCAAGCCATCACCTGCCTAAAGAAAGATGTGAAAGAATTTGAGAAATGGTAATCTATACCTGGCTTACTAGAGAGGATGAAAATTTAGTAAATAAGATGAACAAAACAATAAAATCTGGAATTAAAAATGTTTTGAGCAGCTTTTATAGAATCAAAGATGCTAGTTAGGCCAATAGAATATCACAAGGGAGGATGAGAAAACAAACCAACATTAAAATGAAAATAAACATGAAGTTTCATCTATAGAACATTAAACTAAACTTTCAAAAGACATCATAGGTAAGTCATTTCAAACCAAGATAAAGGGAATATTCACTGACACTAATTTTTTTTTTTTAATCTGCTATGAGTTTCTGGAAAAAAGACTTGTAATACGTGAAAAATTGTGTAAGAATTATAGTTGACTTAAACCTAAGACCAGCAGTTTAATTTAGAGGGGGAAAGCCTCAGCTAGTTCTAAATTAATGTATCTGGTTTCAGCATTTTAGTTTCAGAAATCTCACTAAAAAAAAAAAAAAAAAAGTGAAGTATATACAGAAGAAGATCTAGGCTGGTAGTAGGAGTTCTAGAAATTTTGTCACATGATGAATAGAATGAATTGGGAGAATGGGATTGATGTGTACGTTCGGATCAGTTCAGTCGCTCAGTCGTGTCCGACTCTTTGCGACCCCATGAACCGCAGCACGCCAGGCCTCCCTGTCCATAACCAACTCCCGGAGTTTACTCAAACTCATGCCCATCGAGTTGGTGATGCCATCCAGCCATCTCATCCTCTGTCGTCCCCTTCTCCTCCTGCCCCCAACCCCTCCCAGCATTAGGGTCTTTTCCAATGAGTCAGCTCTTCGCATGAGGTGGCCAAAGTATTGGAGTTTCAGCTTCAGCATGTACTATGTTGTATAAAATACATGGCTAATGAGAACCGGCTAAATAGCACAGGAACTCTACTTGGTGCTCTGTGGTGACGTAAATGGAAGGAAATCCAAAAAAGAGGGGATATACATATATGTATGTCTGATTCCCTTGCTGTACAGCAAAAACTGACACAGCAATGGAAAGCAACTTTACTCCAGGAAAATTTTTAAAAAGCATAGAAAAATTCCTATGATTGTAACATTTAAGCATCTAAAATTTAAACCTATTTGTTAACAGGAAGTAATTTTCTCATCAACTGAAAAAAGCTTAGCAGAGAAAAAAAAATTATCTTTATGATGCTATGGAAGGAATTTCTGCATTAGTGACCTATTCAGTTGGTGACCCCTAATATCTCTGCCATCCTTAAGATGGAACTTCCCAGGTGGCTCAGTGTTAAAGAATTTGATTGCCAATGCAGGAGATGCAGGAGATATGGGCTTGATCCCTGGGTCTGGAAGACCCCCTGGAGGAGGAAATGGCAACCCACCATAGTATTCTTGCTTAGAAAACCCCATGGACAGAGGGGCCTGGCAGGCTACAGTCCATGGGGTCGCAAGAGTCGGGCACAGCTGAGGGACTGTGCCCATCCTTAAGATATTATCATTTTGGGTAGCAAGTAGTAACAGATCTTTGCAAGGTAATTTATTGCTACCGAATACAAAAGAATTAACAACCTTTCTCCTAGCCACCCACATTATAAACTTGAAAGCCTTGAAAGAAAGTGAAGTCACTCAGTTGTGTCCAACTCTTTGCTACTTAATGGACTGTAGCCTACCAGGCTCCTCTGTCCATGGGATTTTCCAGGAAAGAGTACTGCAGTGGGTTGCCATTTCCTTCTCCAGGGGATCGTCCCCACCCAGGTCTCCCGCGTTGCAGGCAGATGCTTTACCATCTGAGCCATCAGGGAAGCCTCCTAAAGTGAAAGTGGCTCAGTCATGTCCAGCTCTTTGCAACCCCATGGACTATACAGTCCATGGAATTCTCCAGGCCAGAATACTGGAGTGGATAGCCTTTCTCTTCTCCAGGGGAGCTTCCCAAACCAAGGATCAAACCCAGGTCTCCTGCATTTGGTATTGCATTAAACCAACTTCTTTCTTAATGTGATTAGTTTCATCATTTTTTAAATGCTATTTTCTTTCTATCCACAATTTTTACTATTTTAGTAAAAGTTCTTTTTCCCTTCTAAGGATTCTCTTACCTCCAGGGTCTGTTCTATACACTACTCAATAATCATTTTTGTATACAATATAAAAGAGAAATGAAATCATGTCCCTCATCTATTTAAAAAAATTCAAGGAAAGAGGGAGCTTTGTTTATATATTAAGATGATCATAAAGCCACAGCACCTGGACACAACTAAATCTTATTTTGTCATAGTCACCTTTTTTCTCATAAGTTGCTTGAAGGAGATGTACTCAAGAGCAAAAATAACAAATGTCAAAAAGTTACTGCTTTCCAGCTGGGCTTTGGCCTGAGACCCTAGTACCAGAATCTTTTGATCCAAACTTGTGGTTTGACCAAGATGTCCTTAGCGTTCCCCTCAGTTTGACTACATTTTATATTTTTTTTTCCTGGCTATAGGTCCCTGACCTTTCTTTCCTTAGAGCATTTACTTTAGAAAACTGCCTAAATTTTACTTTAGAAAATTCTAAATTTTGCTCTGCTACTTTGAAATGAATATGAATCTCTTTTAAAGCCTCTTTCTAGTAGTTTTAAGACTCAAGAAATTCCAGCGAATATCTTTTTTAAGGACTTGGAAGCCCTCTCATGGAAATGTAATTATCAAGGAAGGTGTGCCCCGCTCTCCCAGTCTCTGTGGGATGGGATCTATTTAACTTCAGTGGGTACCTGAGTAAGGTTGTAAAACTACCTCCTGTCATAAAGATAAGAGAAAGTTTATTTTTTCTTTGGGTAAACTCAATTAGCAAACAAAGATGCCCTAAGATCTTAGGTCCTAAAATCTCTCCAACCATTTTTTTTTAAGTGGAATTGAGGTCAATGTCTGTCCTTGTTGCAATAGTCTTGAATAAAATTGTCCTTGCCCTTTTAACTTTGATGCTTTGTTTTAAACTTGCATAGGCATTTGCCAGTGGAGAAGGTGAAAGTTCTTTCTTCTCCAACAACAAATTCAAAACCCTTAACATCAGCCATCTGTTGAGACTTAACCATGGTCATATTCAGTGAATGATGAGAGGATAAATAAGGTGACCTATCTTACTGTTAACTACCTCATTCTGAATCATTTTTCTAGGGGCAAAGCAATACAAGAGTAAAAGAGGCAACATGTAGCTGGGCTGGACAAGGTAAAGTATCAGTGAGTGAGAGCCACATCAAGTGTCTACCAAAATGCACACCAAAAAATGGAGCTTAATCAGTGTCTTAGAGTAAGTCCCCATCTGATTATTATTAATTCTTGTCATTTAAAGGGAAGCCAAGGCAGGAGAGATAGTTTGGAAGAAAGAAAGACAAGTGCATTCAAAAGTTATCCTTAACTATACAGTGAAGTCCAGCCTCAGACTGTCAGCTAACATAAGAGTTTCATTTCCAAACAGTGCTGTGATGAACTGGGCTATTGTTTGGCAGGTATGTACTCAAATTGTTTTCATTCTTGAAGTTTGTATGCATTCACTGCTGCATGAGCTTAACCATATGACTCACTGTGGTCAGTGATATACCGTGTATGACAGATTTGAAGTAAACCAAAGTTCGCTTGTTCTGCTA